ATATGTTTATCTGCCTGTATTCAAGAGAAAAAAAGCGGATCTATGCGGTAAACGAGTAATAAAATTTGAAGTCTGCGGATAAGACCAGGTGGCAGATCAGTACAAATGGGGCAGTGACGTTAGGTAGTGAATGCATAGAAATGAAATTGTGCAAGAGTTCTAAGTGGGTAAAGGCCAAAACAAATAACCTAGCATAATCCTAGTCTAGAGCACAAGTCGTCGACCATGTCCAAAGAATATAGTATCTGCCGCAATGATGGCATAATACTTCACTTGGGAATTAATTTGATGATAAAATACGAATGATGGCAGTGGCAGTCGTTTTGTTCGGATTTCTTGTCAGGATATCCTTCTCATAGGTACAGCTATCTCAGGAGAAAAATATTAACTCGTTAGCCGATCGTTTAAGGTTCACATCAATACTTTTTTCTGGTTTCCGTGGCGCTGTTCAGGAATATACACAGAATAGTATTCTACTTTCGCACACGAATATAAATTTCGATCGTTCCCCTTTTATTGAGACCAAGACGACAAACTTGAAATATGGAAAGCGATAATAACCCAACTACATCAAAAACTGCAGCGCGCCATTTCATTGGAACAACAGTGGACACAAAACTGCAGAAAAGCACCTTCCACCTGTAAAGAAAGCAACCGCTTTCAGTTAATTGCCGAAAATAGTTATTCATTAATGCGTCGTACACGTTTACCTCTTGAGTCACTTACCTTATCCGCTTACCTATGAAGTAGGTCAGAAGCTCGCACTAGCTGGTCAAGGTTAAGACTGTAGCGAAACCTCATTCATTTCATATAAGCCGATAAATTGTCAACTGCTATTGGACAACGGAAACAAGAGGTAGGAAAAGGCGCAGCATTGGCGAATCTGATTCGCAGCCGCCGATTACGCCCATTGACGTAGCTCGTGTGAAACAGCTGCTTACCTGCGCGACTTAATTTGGACACGCAATTGACAATTAAATAAAAATTAAATTAATTGAGTGTTTGATATTGAAGATTTAATTGACATGTGAAATTAGCAATAAATAACTAGATTTTCAGCATGATTGAAATTGGCAAAGTTGCGCATCAATAAAGA